ATTACTATGAGGTAGATTAATGTAATTTATGCAATGTATTGTGTATCACCAAACACAGCACCCTGTAATGTAATAACAACATGTTTTCTTTAATTGCATTACTTAATAATTTTAGTAATATGATTTAATAAGTAAATGCCTATTAAAATCAATACTAAATCATTTGTAAATGATATTAAAACTGGTTAACAATGATAACCACATGGTTATTATGTTAAATATTGAAAAAATATATTAAAAAAATGTTGATGATGAGTGGAAAACAGTCATTTACTGTTCAGGTTAAAAGCACTCTGGTTATTTACATTTGTACAGGATCTAAAGAATTAATGCTGATTCTCATAAAATGTTTAAATATCGTTATTGAACACTGTATGGAATATACAAAGTAGTGCAGTGTTGAAATGTTGATTGATCTAATTGGTCGATTTATAGCATCAACATGCAACTATTACCAATTGTTTGCATGGTTGAAAGTACTTTGAAATGCTCTTTAAACATTTAATTTCAGATGTTTTACTTTAAAATGCAAACCAGAATATTAGGCCTACTGTAATAACTGCGCTATACTGAAGTTTTGAAGTATTTAAAGTTCAAATGTTATATAAATTCTGTTAAATATAGCAAATTCTTATTATTTATACTTGTGTTATTTTCTTTTGTGATTGTTTCTAATGATATTAATAATTCCTTTGTTTGCTTATTTAACTTTTCATACTTTTACTTTACAAAAATGCTGATTTTTATATTCAAATTCTGGTTGTTAACGTCAAATCTGGATCTTTTATTTTAAGTTAATCATGTAATAAGTTTTTTTTCTCTGTGAGAGATCGAAACGTTCTGAATAAGTACTCTGTTTCTTACCAGCTTTTACAAAAAAGAACTTGTCAGCTCTATATTTTTAATGTTCCATTTTTTGCATATCTGTTGTTTTTGATGATGAAGTAGAGTAAGAGCAGTTTACTGTTTTGGTTTATATTCCTTGCTCCTGGCAAACTTGTACTTTTATTTTACACTAAGCATGCTCATCAAGCTTCTTTACAACAAGTGAACAGAAACTGGATAAAGTATTTTTAGTACTGTACTACTATTTTTTTTTAAACACTTTTTGGAAATTGTTATTGATTGTCAGTGAAATTTATCCTAGATTATGATAATAAATTCACAGGTACAGTAGAGTACTGCTTTCATTTTTCAACTTAATGTCTGACAAAATATTGTAAATATTGTCTGGAGTGACAATATGTCAGATAAATTATCTAAAGTTTGATGCTGGTATTACATTACTTCTATTAATTTATATGGTGATTTCACACCTATTGACAGGTACTGTATATCAAAGTTCTGGTACTGTTTTGGTTTCTTCAGTTGTGTTTTGACAACCATTCACTATTGGCTGTAATGTAATAACTGTGATCATTAGTGTCCCATGAGCAGTAAAAAATCTCTTGGAAAATACAGACTTTTTTTGGTCCTGAAGGACCAAAAAAAGCATCCCCTTAATAGGGGTGTCCCTTTGAATAGGGATACCCTTATTCAGAGGACACTATAACCAAAAATGCGAAATTGTCCCCTTAATAGGGGTTTTTGGCATGTTTTCATACAACGATAAACATACACTCTGTATAATTTTATTTTTATTGACATAAGAATCAGCTATACTAAAAGTAGAATTAGATCTAATTTATAGCAACAATTTGCAATGCAAATACAATTTATAATATGAAATCATGACAAATGTAATTAAAACAACAATAGTTTTATATGTTGTAGAAGCGGTTTGGTGCAGCGGGAACAGTATGGTATCCCAACCTCGAGGTCTGGGTTTCAGTCCCTTGCTGTATTGTCGGGCTCTTAGGTAGACCATACAGGCCTGTATGGTACATGTTATGCCCTCCCATTTTAATCAAACCATCACTGCATGACTTTTTCCACCCAGAAGTATAAATAGGTATCTGGTGGGTTTGCCTACTCCTGCGATGTTTACCAGCAGCAACACTTAACACATGCGGACCCAATGACAAGGGGAAAAGAAGCGCTTTGTATAAGCAACATAAATAATAAAATAATAATTAAATGTTTCCAACACTATTTCATGATGCAATGTTAATGACCAAATATTCCTTTTTATATTTAAAATATTGAGCTTACTATTGGATGAATGTAGCATGAATAGAGTAACCACTTAGAATTAATGGTGCATGTTATGGTATGTATTAGAATCCTATATGAAAGTACACGAAAAACAAAGGAAATGAAATCCCCATGGATATGTTGAAATTGACAAGACTGGTTTACATAAGTAACTCATTCAGTAGGCCTACAGTATACCAATGTTTATTCTAAAAATTCAGGGGAAAAAAGTCTGGTTTATTGCTCAACAGGTGTTAAAATATGAAGTTGAATGAATTTCTCTTACTTTGAGACTGCTGTAGTTGTCGTGATACAAAGATAAAAAAAAATTAAGTGTCCCATTAATAGGGGTTATTTCACCATTTGGCTTACTCAGAAAGTGTCCCCGTCCCCTTAATAGGGATGTCCCCTTAAGGGGTTGGCCATAGTGTTAAAAAATATATTGTCCCTCGTTTCACAGAAAAGTGTCCCCTTAATACGGGTGTCTCCTTAATACGGGTGTCCCAAAGGAGGGGTTCTATTATAACCCATTTCTTGAAAATTTAAAAAGGTTTTAATGAATACAGGTAGCAGACCATGGGTAGAGGTGGAAAAAATATCAAAAGAAAGATGAATCGGACTAACGACATATGGATTAGGATGTGTTACGCGAGCACTGTAGGGGTCCCAAGTTGGAAAAATTCAATACTGGGGGAAGATGGGAGGAGGAGAGGCTGGGCCCTGTTGAGGAGATTCCACCACCCCCCCCCCCATCCCACTTACCCCGTTGGGAAGAGGAACCACAATTCGTAGGGAAGAATAAATTAAATGTACTGTATTTTCTATATATTAATAGATAAATTGTCAGTCTTTTGGGGCTTTTACCCCCTTTATCACTTTCCATATACTGTATTTTGAGCTCCTGACCACGCCAAATTTGCTCCTGTCAAGACATCTGCAGTGACGGATCCAAGAATTCCCAATAGATGGGAACAGGGAGGGGCTTTCACATATGTAGGGTCTATCTCAACCCCACCATGGTTGGGCTGAGGTAAGAGAATGTATAAATATGGCACCTCTAGATGGCCAGAAATGGAACATTCAGGCTTAAATTTGAATATGATTTTCTTTTTCTCTCCATCATTTGTTTTAATTTAGAAAAAAAAATGGGGATGGGGACTTCCCTATTAAATCCACCACTGATCTGGTTAATGAGCTTTCATAACATTTGATTTTATTTTGCTGCACATTGTGATACACAAAATGATAAATAAGTGAAAACATATGCAAATATTATGAATTTGCGGGATATGGGTTCATATTAGGTATTAGGCGATCGCATTACATAATGGTGGAACGGTAAATCCCAACCTAGCATAAACGCATGGAATTCACGCAAAACATGAACCTAATTTTAATTATTGTCCTTATAATTTTCAATTTTATCGTAGCATTTTGCTTCATGATTATGGAGACGATAATAATAACAATTATTTTTTTCGTACATCGGGGTCATGTGAGTAGCTTCACAAACGTTGACACAAAATGCACATGGTTGGTGGAGGTTGACGTTCACAGGAAGAATGATACCACTATACAGTGTTATGATTTTAGAATATAAACTTGTGAAATTAATGTGTGCTATAAAAAATGAGTTTTCTTGAGCTTGTAATATTTCTTTTTACTGCAAGTCAATTGTAGAAAAGAAAGTCACAGCATATTTCCATACACCTGCCTAACTACCCATGCGTAAGCTTTGTATCTGGTGGTTATGTTTACAACATGGTGCGTGAGGTTGCATGCTTCGCACAGTAGGCTGTCAGCAGTAATGAGTTAGGCATAGAATCCTTATATATAACAACTTTCATTCAAAAACTATAGTTCAACTGAATACAATTTACTCTACAGTTTTTTAATAACAATTATTTCTCAATGGGTTTTTGTTTTTTTCGAGCTAGTCAGTTTGGATGAATATGGTACAGATAAGATGTCAAAATTGACTGCAATAAAAGCGAACTTGGGCCGGCCCAGGTTCAGCTTACATTCAGATGTAAAGTTGACTCAAAAGTTGGACTAAATTTAGGTCGGCTCGGAACTGGCTTAACAATTATTGATTGTTCACACCTAAAAAATGCCGACCCTAAGGCGGCCCTGAGCGTAACTCTTCAGTGTGATTGAGCTGCCAGCTCTCACATCCATCCACATATCTCCATCCATCCAGTAATGGTATAAATTACTTAGACATTGAGGAGCCAAATAAAAAAATTATGCAAATAGCAAAAATGAACAGATTACATCAACAGAAAAGTAATTTCTATATTACAATATGCTTCTGTGTTCTAAACTCAAGCCATAATTATGAAGCAATTGACAAAGCATAGATGGGAATGATGATGCACAATTGTCCGCACATTCACCATCAATGCCACTTTTGTATTCGTATGATATCAGTTTTCAATAACAGAACCCCCTTTCACCAGCCACCAAATTTAAAGTTAATAAAAATTACTAATGAAAAGCCTTCATGTAAAACCATTTGTTCAAGATAGACAAATCAACTAGTGATCATTATCAAAGAGAATATACAGTAAAGCTCTCAGATATTTCGCAATAAAGAACTTATTATCTGGGTAGGTAGTGGGGTGTGCAAATGCATTATGCAAAATTTTAGACAGACTCCATGCCCCAGTGGTTTTCCTGTGCTTACGACTATTGCAGATATTCACAAAGCGTCCTAGTTCTGTTGTACAAAAGACATCCTATCATTATAATACTGCTATTGTACTCTGGTAAAACATCAACTTTGGAACATACTGTATGTCTAATGCACTCAAAGAAATACAAGTTAATTCAAGTTCACAAGAAGGTGAGATACATCAGTAACTTACCCCGATTATTTCGTCATTGTACTGACATGACCCTGAGTTGGAAGCACATTCTGGACAGCACTGGTTTGGAGCCATTCTAAGTCTTTCCCCCTGAAAAATATAAAAAAAATATTAAAATAATTTCTGAGAAAATCAGCTTGGTATCAATAATCAACATGGTAATAAAATATCAAATGGAAAAAAAATATATATATTCTTGTGAAATTTTTTTTTTGGCAAGTATGAAGTATTTGGTACAATAACATGTCAGGTAAGGCAAAACATCACTCATATGATATTTTCCTGTGCAAACTTATCGTAATAGCAATTGAAGTACCCATTGCTACTTGGGGATCAACACCAAGCACAAGGCTATAATTACCTGGAAGTCATGGGTTCAATTCCTACCTGAATCACTTACAAATTTTGTTCGCAAGTATTTGGGAATGTACTTTAGTATTTGGCACGATAACATGTCAGGTAGGGCAAAACTTCACTCCTAAAAACCCCAGTAGTTATTAAAATACAAGAAAACATTAAAAATTAAAAACCTATTGCACACATAAAGTTGAATATATAATCAATACTTTATGGAACAGATCGATCATGATAAGCAAGCTTGATTCTATTCAAGTTTATTATTTTCATCCCACCAAATGGCTGTTTGCGAAACTGTATCTCAATCACAATGCAAATGATAATAAAGTCTATCTCTATCTGTATCAATTGACAGAAAATGAATATGGTGGTTTACTGTTCTGGGAAAATTATTAAAGTATACAAATAGTCCAACGATTAAAATACACAATCAAAGCAGTCGTTGATTGATGAGGCACAGGAATTATATTGTTGGACAGAATAAATTCTCAAGATTAAAGATATCATTTTAAAAGGACGCAGTAGTTGCATTAAATACAGAGAGCTAATTTATTGCAATTAAAGTATATTTTTTCTGTTAAAATTAAAAGATGCTTCAACAGTCATTCAGTTTGCTTTTGACAACCCTTGTATATTTTTATGTTCATTGCTTGCTTTTGTGAATTGGGGATGTTACTTTATTGCAGAAATTTAATAGATCAAATCAATAATATTGCATTCATTGTTGGCAAGTACAAATAGTTGATATTAATATTATATTATTTTAATTCACATTACAAGAAATTTTTAAAATACTGTACAAAAAAACACAACAAAAAAATTTTACTGTCTTATTTCGGGCCCTTCCAAGGTAAAAGAACGTAACTGCACAAAAATATAATAGTCAGTTACATTGTCTTGCTATGGGATGGCCTATTTATCAAAATTAGAAACATTGTTTTGATCTTTAATTGTTCGATTACAGTACAATTGTATAGTGTGTTATGATAACAACATAGCACTGATACGTTTACTCGGAGTCATCGGCTAAACATGGAAACTGGCTGAGCATGTGCAGAAAATTATAGGCTTAAAATTAACTGAACCATTTTGAACTAATTTTGTCTAAATCCATAAAACCTTGGACAATTTGCTAGCCAGGTTGCAGAAGAATCTTGAAGAATTCCCTCACAACAATAATGGACCTTTCCGGTAACCCCAACCCCTTGGATATCATTGCTTAAGTCCCGCAAGACAACAGTGTCAAAATATACGCAAACATGTGCGCTTGTAGGACGTGTGTTTATTGTAGAGTGAACATAAAGTGTAAAGCAGCAAAAACCTATTATAATATAATTTTTCTCCAAACTCAGGGGTTCAAATTTGGAAGAAATCCCTTCCGGAATATTTGGTTAAATGAACTTTCTTAACAGGCTTATTTGATTTTATTTTGCTGTGCGCAGTGACACTCATAGGCACTGACCTCCGTGAGACAACTGATAATAACTTACGTAGTACTGTAAAAACACGCAAATATTATGAATTTGCAGGAGATGGGTTATTTTCCAGGAATATTTGCAGGAGTATGTGAGACTGTCCCATTCCCGCGACCACCGGGAGACTCGGGACCCCTGCAAACTATGGCTATTCAAAGGAACATTTTTACTGGGTGAACATGAAATCTCAATAACGAAAATAGAAATATAAAATTTCCTGTTGTATCTACAAAAAAAAAAAAGAAATAAATAAAACTGAAAAATCAATTCTGCATTAAGTACATTTTATTCAAAATTGAGATTTTTGGTTTACGTGACTCCTGAATATCTAATCTATCACCTTAGTTCATCAAAATTCCAAAAAAATGTCTGGAAATATGAAATTTTCTTTAAAATTGGGCATTTTCTGCAAATTTCACTACAAATACTCCAAGAAAAGGCATTATGTGCATTGAACGCTTGACTTCACACAGGACTGATATTAAGTAACCAATCTGATGCTAGTATAACGAATATCTAATTAACTAGCTTGGAATCCTCAGCAGATAATGCCAAGTATAGTTTACAGCTGCTTTGTATTTTATTATGTTCAACTATTAATACTACAATTTTTGTAATACTTTTGTCGAAATGGCGCAAGATACAGTGCAAATATTTTGAGAAGTCTTTTGGAAGAGCAAGTACAATATCGTACTTACTTTATTTCATATAATTAACATTTAAATAGTTCATTAAAAAAAAACATGAAATACAAGAAAAAAATAAGGATTTTTATGTTAGAACTAACAAAACACTGGTATGAACATTTAGAATTTTTTTTATAATTCTTTCACTACCAATAGCAATCACACTCACGAATAAGCCAATTCGTAGCTTGAAACACGCATGGCAGTATCGAGGTTATTCAACATAAAGAAGCATAGGTTTATGTCGATTGACCTCAGCTGACCATGGATACAGGCATGTGCAGTTCAAACCATGAATTGGCTGACACAATGCTTTACAAACTCTTGGGGTTATTTTTCTGCTCTTGTGAAAAAGAAATATATCCTTAAATACCTATCTCAGGACTGGAAAGCAAATAACATTTTCCCTACATTAAATGCTAAAGTGGTATAACTTCGAACTGTGCAGCCCCAAATTTTTTATGTTCAACATCCACCTTTCTGAACTTCTTTTGTAACTATGATGCATTTTGATCTTAGCCACATCACATGCACGTTTTCCTATTCAGTAGATTATTGTCACAAAACAGTTTAACATCAAACGAACTTAATACAGAATGTACCTAACAGTTGTATATAATAAATTCCTTAAGTGCTGTTATCTTGTCATCAATTAAACTGTAACACACTGTACTATACATGTCAAATGTGATGATTGTTATAGCATTAGTACCATTCAATGGTTTTATATACCTATTACTTTTTAACCTCTAGTTAAATGTAGAGCCGACAGGAAGTCAGTAGCAGTACAGTTCTAGGGGATCTAGCTGGACTGCAACAATTTTAAATCTCATCATTTGATGTAAATCATAGTAGTACAGTACCGCTTAAAACAAGTGCCCCATTTGGACGTGCCTGACGCATTCGAAATATGATTATGACGTGTTTATTTCACGTCCACTATATTGACGCATCCGATGCATTTTACACCTACTGTTCATTTTGATGCAAGCCTCGCCTAACTATCCATTGTTCTTGCTGCCACAACATAAACAAAAGACGTGAACTCTAAGACGATGACTGAATATTATACAAAATACTATTATTAGTTACGTTTTCCAATCGTTTTTCCCTGTTGACTGTCATCAACAAAACTACTGTAAGTGACGATAGCCTGCACAATGAGATAGTCGATTTCCGTATCTGCATTTGACAATTTCAATAATATTACAAAAAATACTCACGTTTTCTCTTACACCTCACATTATTAAGTTATACTGAAGTCAGACAATAATACTGTATTATATTGTGTTATGGTAATTATACTACAGGTAATTAGGCCGTGGATAAGACTAGTGTAAAAACTGAAGGTATTTTTGACATAAAAGACTTATAATTAACTCTGTGCATCAGGTTTCATGAAAACATGTGCAATGGCTAGTTCTTACCTCATTTAAACAAAGGCCGAAGACACATCTTTTCAGAATTGCATATTATTTATTAGTTTTTCTTTCCCTTCTTTATTGCTGCTTTTTTTTTTTGTAGGATAGGTGAGTCAGATGCCAGGTTCACTAGTTCACCTGTGAATTACGAGCCTGCCAGCTGCTGCTTTGCAGTAGTACTTAAAAACTGCAGGAGAACTGCAGTGATCTTGGTTCCTCTGCTTGTCTGTTTTGTTATTTTTTAATTTATTTTTTGTTCATGGTTAGTTAGAATAGATTAATGGTCTAGTTTTCTTTTTTGCTCTCTGTTGTATCAGCGCATACAGACCCCGGCGTTATGCGCTATATAAATCTAATTACATACAATTACATACATTCATAGTTCATCAAACTACATGACAGTCAGGCCATCTGATGGGAGAATGCGCAAGATTGATTGGATACATCAAAGTTCTCTAGTCTATAAAAATTGAAAGTAACATCTCCTATAATAATTATCATTTCATCCAACTCAATTAATCATTATGGTTGTGCGCCGAGTCTTTGAATATGTCTGGTATTTATAGACTACACCAGAGATAAACAGACCACATGCCACTGGAGGCCCAGGCGGCTAGCTGCAAGGCTACAGGAGGTACAATATCATGCGAAAAAACAAATAATAATACTAATAAAAGAGTACTTACCTTATATTTTAAGACATCGGATCTGTCATTTATCAGGAACTATGAAAAAACTACATATATTTTTTATTTCTTTTATTAACCTTTTAATTGCCAATACAGTACTCAATAAAAACGGTACAGTATGAAATTATTTTCCTGATGATGACATATAATGTGGAAATATTGAATCCCAATACGATGACATGCATTTGAATTCTTGGAGTATGTAATACTTTCTAACATCTATTTTATTTACAATACTATATTATTAATGTCACAGTAATTCTAAAAAAAAAATCAACTTTATTGGTCCATTTGTACACTTTATTTTTTCAAACACAATCATCTAACAACGTGCAAAGTTCTTGGTAGTTTAACTCTTGATTAACCCGTATTTCTTGGAGCACATGTTTACCTCTCACATCCTACTCAACAAAAACACCAAAATACATCTGCCGCCCTAAAAATAAGCACAATTCCTCGATTG